CAAAAATTAGCAGAGTCATTTTCATTGTATCAAGGTAATTTAATGGAAGCTTCATGTTGTACTATAGTCTCTTTGCAGTGTTTAGTCTAGACAGACACTGGGGAAATGGTACAAGTGATGGTGAAGTCTTCATTTATTCCTAGTCGTAGAAGCTCTAGATATTATAGATAGTTCCTAATCATTTGAGATGCTAAATGTCACACTCTTAAATTTGAGAACATTGGTGTTTCTAATATTCAAGTGATCATGTTTTAAATTTAAGCATGCACATATAAAATGGGAAAAATTTCCACAATCTGATAATCATCCCTTTTGATCTAAGCATTATATATACATTCATTCTGTTTTATACATATTTAACTGGTTAAATATTGGTCAAAATGTGTTGACACAAAAAGCATTGTTTTCTTTCCATCAAATTTTATTAAAGGAAATAATTGAAGAAAAAATTAGGAGTCATGTTTCCCAACATAGATAGAAATAGACCCTAGCACCTCAATATTCAAATGTGAAGCCAATCTCTAACTCTTTTGACTGTGGTCATAACTATTGTTCTTATGCTTCAACTTTCCCTTCTTTAAATAAAGATAATTACAATAAATACAGACATGTGGCTATTTTGAGACATGAACTTCAATTAATTTCTACAGAACTCATTGAATAATATTCAACCCAGAAAATGATAAATGTTGCTAGTATTAAGTTTTCTTTAACATAAATATCCCTCCCCCCACCTCTAAGTTGTCCTTGGCTATTTCAGCAAATCTTAGGGACTAAGTAATGACTCAATGACAATTCTATTTGGGACATTTTGTGACCTTAACCACAACCCAAAACGAAAACCACCATTTAGTTTGAGAGCACTGGTTTCTGCAAGGAAAGGAAAAGACTGTTGTTGGTTCAACCTACATAGCTTTTTGGGAATGGGGTAATAACCAAATAAAGGTAGCAATTGCTCCATATGTTTTGAAGAGTAACAGGAAAGTGTCCTGTCACCCCATGCCATGTCCACAGGGCAGAACGAGGAAAAGGTTCAATGGTAGCCAAAGGGAGGCTCAAGTCTCTGACTCAGAAAATGATAACCAAAGGAAGACTCGTGTCTCTGACTCAGAAAATGATTCAGAAAATTGCGCTGCAAGCACTGCAAAAGAAAGCTGGCCTCGATCAACACTTGGCACACGGCTCCTCTACAAATACTGTCACTTTTCATTTATTTTCTCTGTCCTATTTTGACTTCCAAGACCTATCCAGGAATCCTCTAACACACATTGTCACTCGGCAAACATTTCAACTTGAAGACGATAATTTAGTTAACAAGATCACTTTCCTAATGATCTTGTTTAAGCTGCTTCTTTGCTGGGCCAGTGCTCACATGTCCTGACTCCTCCCGTTGTTCAGTGTTCCTTCCTGTTCCCTACCCTGGAGCAGGTGTGAAGGACACTCTGCTGCCCAAAGAGAGGCAGTTCCAAATCCTCCCAAAGTGAAGGGGTGGGGCAGTGAAGGGACAGTCAGGTCAGAAACCCCACACGAGGCAAAAGCAGCAAGAATGCAGCTTCTGAAACAAATATCAGAAGTCATAAAGCAGGAATACTTTTGAATCAGTGAATAGAAGACTCTGATATGCCTTGGGGAATTTATGTCTTCAAAACATGGCAATTTAGATAAGAATTTTGAAAATCTCATAATGTTGTCAAAATTTTAAAAACATCTTACTTTTATTTATATTTCATTTTATTTACATATTTATTTTCCTCTAATTTCCCCTCTTTTTACCCTGTAGGTTTGTGGTGCATCTATTATGGCTTTTAGTTCAGTGGTTTTGTAGTATTCCTAGGTTGGGGACAAGTGAGTCTTAGCATCTATGTTTGTTTCCTGTGTGTTTTCTTGGGCTCTTTCCTTCTGTTTGTTTATTTTGTCCCATTCTGATGCATTAGTTTTTGTTTTATTTTATTATATTTTATTATTATCCCTTAGAAGCCTGCTTATTTTCTAATAAGAGACAGAAAGGGGTACATCTGGATGGGAAGGGAGGAACGGGAACTGGGAAGAATAGAAAGAAGGGAAACCAAAATAAAAATATATTATGTGAGAAAAAACTTCAATAAAATTTTTAAAAGTTTCTTAAAAAAGAAAAAAATTAACAAAAAAAGAAAATTCAGGTTCAACATCATGACATTTGTTTCTGGTGGCAAGCAATGCTCTGACCTCAACATTGCATTCCAATGTTCACAAATAAACATCTAGACATAATCCAGGCATGGCAGGGACAACCACAGGAAAGTTCGGTTATGTCTCATGTCTACAGATCTTGCTTTCATGGTCGCATAATTCAGTTGGATTTTAGGATCTTTTACTTATAATTTTGAAAGTGTGAGTTTAAAATTATGCAAACTGAATTTAATTCAAGTAAAAGGCAAGAATGAAAGGCAATTCATGAATGTCAAAACAAGTTGGAACTTTTTTATACGGAGAAGCAATTACATTTACTTTAAAAATAACAGATGAAGACTTAAAGAGAGACATCTGTCCCCAAAAGTGTATTTTATAAAATCTCTATGATATGCTCAAGTGAGGAATGCTCTCTAAACATGTGATGCTGGGGTTGAGCCCACGGAGACTTTCCTTTTCATTGTGGTTCATTTCAAGCAAGTGGAGATGCTTAAAAGCATGTGGACTTAGAACTAGTGAGAAAACTTGGTTTCCCTCTTCGTTTTTACATAATTGTGTAGACAGTGCAGACAACTGGCTAAAAGGGTGGGCATACACAAATGCCCTCAAAATACATCCTCTCTTTTCATCAGTGGCAGTTGAAAGAGAATTGCATAACTCTTTTCCTTGGGTGCCCAAACCTGTCAGATTGATTGCATTACAGATAATGGAACTTATTAGAATTTCTGCAAGATTAAAATAGTATTCTGAAGAGCAAAAAAAAGTCAAGTATAGAAAATCCAGTTTTTAAACAAATAGACTGATAACTCAGTAGACTTATCCCTAATTGTAAGCAAACACACAGCTTGAGTCACCTACCTGATGGTAGTTATGTTAGTGATAAGTCTTAACTACTGAATTTTAACATTGCTGTTACATGCATTGATCTCTAATAATTCTGGGGAACTTAGTGAACTGTGTCAAAAGTAAACTATTCAATGGCAGTAAACCTATAAAAAGAAATCAGTTGTGCTGAATGTACCCAATGAAGAGGTTCATCTTCAGGAACTTTTATGTCACTGTTCATTCCCCCTATCCTAATGGGCTCTGACAGGTAATAACAATGCAACCCTGGGGAAGCTATTTTGCCTGAATAGCCTTTGTGGGAAAAAGGTGGCTGCTATAATACAGCCCACCTCTTACTTCAGTCGAAGAATCAAGAAACATGATAAACTAAATAATACTGAACTGTTTAAGATGTGGAGATAATGAAATAAGCAAAGTAATAATAATAATAACTACATACACTTCAACAATACAAGTATTTATGTCAAAAAGACACAAATCAGAATAAAGCACTAGAAGTGATGAGCGATGAAAGGAAACCTTTCAGGCAAACCTCAACTCAGAAGCTGTTTAGGAGCAAGAATAACCCCATTGGGGTTCTCCTCTATTGCTAGTATACATTCCATGCCCTGCGTCAAGTTCCACCCTTATCCTACCAAAGCCACTGTGTCCCAAGGCTGTCCAAGAGCAAAATTGTAAGGTCAAGCCCTAATGATACCGCGTCCCAGCATGCCTTTGCCAGTCTCCTCTGTTTGGCTTTGGCAGTTGACAGGGTCCTCTCTCTACCTCACACTTTGGGTACCAGAACGAACATTTTGGCTGCCCTCTGTCCAGCCCAGAACTCAAAAGTGGGCAACAGGCTAGGAAGGCTGGAGGCAAACAGGGAGCCCCGCAGTCCCCACTGCCCATTCGTGCTTAGCGCTTCGCGCGGCCCCGCGCCGCACTGCAAAGCCCGCCCCACGCGGCCGCAGGAGACACCGGCGCGCGGGTTTCCCGGTCAACCCCGGCCTCCCCCACTCCTCTCCAGACTTCCCCAGTCTCAGTGCCATCCCCGGCGGGGGCTGGCCACGCAGCTTCCCAGCATCACAGCCCACTACAGCGACCCCGAGGGCAGATCCCGACAGAACACCTCATCCCGCGGCGAGGGCGCAGGGAGCCGTGGGCAGCCCTGGCCTCGGGTGGGCTGCAGCGAGGGGATCCTTCTGCCACGCGCATCCCGCCGCAGCCGCCGCCGCCCCGCGGGCCCAGGGGA